CCCCTCCTCGCCCCCCTCACCGGCTGTGCTTTCCTCCTCCCGCCCTGGCCCAGGAGTGGCATGACTATAAGCTGCGCTGGGATCCCGCTGACTACGAGAACGTCACCTCCATCCGCATTCCCTCTGAGCTCATCTGGCGACCGGACATCGTCCTCTACAATAAGTGAGCCCTGGGGAAGTCAGCGGGCGGGGGCGGCAGGCACCTGTCTCCAGGTGTGAGTGACCCAGGGGATCCAGGCATGAGCAAGAGGTACTGACCTGTGTGTGCCCGCCCCCGGCAGCCTGTGCTGAAGCCTCTGGGAGGAAGTGGAGGGTCTGGGGGGCGGGCCGCCGGTGAGCAAAGCAGGGGACAGGGGTCCTGGGTGTAGCGTGGGTCCAGCTAGCTCCGCTCAGGCATCAGTTCCTCTCCCCGCGGGGGCAAGGGGGCCGCGGGCCTGGAGCAGCACTCGTGTTTTCCGGATCACCCCTGGCCGGGCGGTGGTCCTTCCATGCAGGAAGCCCCCAGACTCCCGCCCCACTCCAGCCCCATTTCTGCCCGCTGCCCCTGGCCTTTGGGTGCCTCTTCACCTGGGTGCTCGGCCCCTCCCCAGCCCTGAGCAAGCAGCCTGTGGGACAGGACGCCTCGCTGAATCTGCTCACGTACACCATCATTCTGTGCCAGAAACACAGAGGTGTTTGCCAGGCATGGCCGAGGCAGAGAGTGGGATCCAAACTGTCCTTTGCCAGACCCTTGCTGGGGCTCCTGAGCCCGGGGCAGCCTGACGTCCGCTTGTGTCCCCAGGTCATTGCTGGGTCATAGCTGAGCGGCTGATGCCGTCTCAGGCTCAGGCCCGAGCCGCAGCTCCCACGGAGCCACAGACAAAGCAAATGGAAGCACTGAGCTCCCTGCGGACCCCTGCCCCCCGATGGGCTCTGGTACAAAGCTCCTTCCAGGGCCCCGGGCACTGGGCCTGACCTATAAAATGTTGTTATTTGATTAAGAACGATTGGGCTCTTCTTCCAACTTAATTGATTCCACTAATGGCAGTGGGAAGAGCTTGATGGTTTTCGGGATGCATTAGGGGGTCAGCTCCGTGAGCGGGAAGGCGGTAGTGCTGCTCTTCCCGCAGGCCAGGCTCCCTGCTCTCCACAGCCAGCCCCGCTGAACCACCAGCCCGGTTCCCCGGCCTCCCTGGCCTCCCCGGCCTTCCTGGGGTCTGCACTCAGCTCCCCAAGGCCCCCGCCCCGGGTCTCAGGGGCCGTTTGACTCAGAGAACATGGTGTCAGCGTCCTGGGACCCAGGGGAGCATCCGTGCTGTGGGGACAGCTCCGCCCTCCCCAGGCAGGAGCAGCTCCGGGGCCTGTGCAGACCCCCCAGGACTGCGGCCGGGAGATGGGGCTGCCACTTCAAATTCCCTCCTCTCTCCTCTTCCAGGCCCCGGGGGAGGGGGTGGGCCCCCAGCCTGTCTGTGGGGCTGTGGTCGGCATAGAGGCTCTTTCTGGACGGGGCCGTGGGGTGGCTGACGCCAGCCAGGCCCGTGTGCACTTGAGTGCAGCCAGGTGACCAGCCGGGGCTACTGGGTGAGGGGAAAGGTGGGGGGCACCTTTTCAGATGGCTTTGGGAAACCCCCTGCATGGGAGGCTCTGCTGTCCACTTGGGGGCTTCTCTGTGGTGGCCCTTTGGGGAGGAGGGTCTCGCAAGGCCTCTTTCATGCAACACCACACGGATGGGGGTTCGCGGGGCCTGGGCAGGAACCTGGACGGGCCAGGAAGCCTCCTCTGCTCTGCTGGGGCCGCAGCTCCACGCAGCGAGGCCAGAGCGTGCTCAAGATCTGACCGTTGGGTCCCAGCGTCCGGAGCCCCGTGGCTTCCTGGAGGCACAATGCTGCTGGGGTGGGACGCAGGGCCGGAACCTGCTGGCGGGTGCTTCCTCTCCCCTGCACCAGCCCCTTCACAACTGGGGGCCTCAAAGCCAGCACGGGGAGGAAGTTGGACCCCACCGGGCTGCCTTCTGAGATCCTCTACCTCCTCGAGAAGCGGGCCGGTGGAAGTGAGATGCTGCACCACGGGAACCACGTCTGCCCGCAGGTCCAGACCCCACGTCCCGAGGGGGACGCCCTCCTGGGAGGGTCTCCGGGATCTGAGCCAGGTCTGCACTGGGCGAGGACACAGTAGCCCCCCAGGCTGGGGGCGCGGGGTGGAGGGGTGCACAGCCATGGGGGTCTGCGGGCTGTGCACCAGGAGAAGACTCGGATCTTGTCTGTGGGCACCGAGACCCTGAGGCCTGGGTGCACATTCCTAGTCCTGGGCTGCTTTCAGTGAACTTCTGGAACATTCCCTTCCCTTCCTGGGGATCAGGGCTCCCCGGGCTCACGCCGCTGACTGGAGCCTCTAATCTCCCTGCAGAATGTTTGCTGAGCCATGTTTGTGCATTTGCTTTATGCCTCAGAGGGACAAGGCTTTGGGTTTCGGAGCGAGTTTGCTGAGGGAGGACAGTCCACCTCATCCCGCCCCAGAGAGAGCCTCAGTCCCACGCTGGAGTCCAGGCCGTGTGTCCCGCATGCAAAGCCCCTGTCGCTCTTCCTGTGGATGCATCTGCGGGTCTCCACCGACCGCTGACCTAGACGTCAGCCCAGAAGGGTTCCTGGAGGTCATAGGATCGGATTGGCAGCAACTGAGACCGTCGGGGCGTCTGAGCTCGATGTCTGGGGGCTTCTAGGCCGTGGTGGGTGTGGGCGGGCACGGACGGCCGAGCTCTGAGCCCTTGGTGGGGCACCTGACTCACGTCCACAGCCTGTGCTGGCAGGTTGTGCGGTGGCCCCCCCACAGTGTCAAGGCAGCATGGCGCCCACGGGTGCTGTCCTGGGGGTCCATGGGGCCGTGGGGAGGTTCCCCGTCAGCGCTTCAGAGCCAAGCCACGGGGCCAACCCCTGCCTCCATCTGTTCATGGTCAGAGTGGACAGCCCAGCCGGGGGGAAACTGAGGCCAGGAGAGCGGTATGCACGCAGCTCAGGTTGCGTCCAGGGGCTTCCAGCTGAGGGGCAGAGCAGGGCCGAGTCCAGGAGCCGATGAGGGCTCGGGGTGGGGCCTCTTAGCAGCTGTCCCTGGCTCCTCACTCCACCGGGCACCAGGGTGGCAGGCCAACTGTGCGCGTCCTTGCGGAGACACTGAGGCGGACATTGCTGTCTGCGAAGCCCAGGCCCAGGGACAGCAGTTCCCCGTCTGCCACCCACCCGGCCACGGACAAGGGCGGATGGCCAGGGGTGGGCCCTGTCCCCTCCTGCTCAGGCAGCCCAGGGTCCTCACCTGTAAGTTGTGGGGATAATGGAGAGGAAGGTGCTCAGTGTGTTGCACACTCGGCCTGTGGCAGGAGACGGTGGCTAGGCAGGCGCCCACCCCAAGTTTGGCCCGTCCTCCAGGGTGACCTGCAGGGGACTCGGCTCTGTCCCAAGAGCCACTTTCATGTCCGTGTCCTCGTCCATAGGGCGCAGATGGCCAGGTGTGCAGTGATGGGTCCCAAGAGGGGCTGCTCGGCCCCCAATCCCCCGGGATGCAGATCTGCATGGGAGACGGGTGGGAGTTGAGACCTTCCATCCCCTCTGCCGTAGGCCCAGGGGCAGGAGAGCATGGGGCTCTGTTCTCCAGAGTCAGGCCTCACTTGCCCTTACACCGCGGACAGGAGCTCCCTGACCTCGGGCCCTTGCAGGGACGTGACCCCCCCCCCCAGGCTGCCCGCTCGTTCCCAGCACAGACAGTTGGCAGCTCCAGGACAGAGACGGACCGGGTGCCACCTCACCCGGGTGCTAGCAGGTGTAGGACCCCAGTCCCTGCTCTATCCGCCAAGTGATCGCCACTGTCACCAACAAGCTTGTGTGTCAGGCATGACGGGGCTGCTTAGATGTCCTCCAAGCCACGTGTCCCCCCTAGGGTAGGGGCGATAAGCTGAGGCAGATGAGGGAAGTGCCCGGGGCCACCAACCTACACCTAGCCCGGTCCCTGACCGGGTCCCCTGCCTTTCTTTGCTCACCTGTAAAGCCAGACGTGTGTGAGAGCCAGGCTGCGGTTCTGGTGGGTCTCACGCCCCTCTCTTCCTGCACAGCGCGGACGGGGACTTTGCGGTCACCCACCTGACCAAGGCCCACCTCTTCCATGACGGGCGGGTCCAGTGGACACCCCCCGCCATCTACAAGAGCTCCTGCAGCATCGACGTCACCTTCTTCCCCTTCGACCAGCAGAACTGCACCATGAAGTTCGGGTCCTGGACGTACGACAAGGCCAAGATCGACCTGGTGAGCATGCACAGTCGTGTGGACCAGCTGGACCTGTGGGAGAGCGGCGAGTGGGTCATCGTGGACGCTGTGGGCACCTACAACACCCGCAAATACGAGTGCTGCGCCGAGGTCTACCCGGACATCACCTACGCCTTCGTCATCCGGCGCCTGCCCCTCTTCTACACCATCAACCTCATCATCCCCTGCCTGCTCATCTCCTGCCTCACGGTGCTGGTCTTCTACCTGCCATCTGAGTGCGGCGAGAAGATCACGCTCTGCATCTCTGTGTTGCTCTCGCTCACCGTCTTCCTGCTACTCATCACGGAGATCATCCCCTCCACCTCCCTGGTCATCCCGCTCATCGGCGAGTACCTGCTCTTCACCATGATCTTCGTCACGCTGTCCATCGTCATCACGGTCTTCGTGCTCAACGTGCACCACCGCTCCCCGCGCACACACACCATGCCCGCCTGGGTGCGCCGGGTCTTCCTGGATGTGGTGCCCCGCTTGCTCTTCATGAAGCGGCCGTCTGTGGTCAAGGGCAACTGCAGGCGGCTCATCGAGTCCGTGCATAAGATGGCCGGCGCCCCCGGCTTCTGGCCCGAGCCTGAGGGGGAGCCCAGCTTCGTGGGCGGAGCCCAGAGCCGGGGCCCATCGCGCTCCCCGTCCTTCTGCAGCCGCCCGGACGAGCCAGCCAAGCCCCAGCCAGCCTGCGAGTCACCCTCGGACCAGGTCCCTGCGTTGCCGCCCTCAGAGGCTGAGAACGGGAGCCCCTGCCCCTCGCCTGACCCCCGCCACCCACCCGCCAGCACCCGGGCCCCAGGGCTCACCAAAGCCCGGTCTCTGAGCGTCCAGCACATGTCCAGCCCTGCCGAAGCCGTGGAAGACGGTGTTCGATGCCGGTCTCGGAGCATCCAGTACTGTGTTCCCCAAGATGATGCCGCCTCCCCGGCTGGGGGCCCCGTGGCCGGCTCCCCCCCCTTTCTGAAGGCCGGCTCCGCCGAGCCCCTGCCCCCAGACCAGCCCTCTCCGTGCAAATGCAGGTGCAAGAAGGAGCCGTCCCCACATGCCGTGTTCAAACCCCGGGGCACCAAAGTGCCCCCCCCGCATCTGCCCCTGTCTCCAGCCCTGACGCGGGCGATCGAGGGTGTCCAGTACATCGCAGACCATCTGAAGGCCGAGGACACAGACTTCTCGGTGAGTTTCTGCCTGTGGCCGGACAGGCTCTGTCTGCTTCCCTTTCCTCTCTGGAGGAGGGTGTGGCCGGTGAAAAGTCCCCAAACCCGGGCCCAGACCCGGGCTACTAAGTTCTGGGGTGCGTGCAGCCCAGCCCTCACCCTGTCCTGCTCTCTCTTCCCCGAGTGTCTGATTCTGGCAGGCGGTCCCTGGGGTGGCTAGTGAGAGTGTACTGTGGGGGTGTCCTCTGTGTTGTCCAGGACACGGGGAGCCCGCAGGCTGCAGGGCGGCCTTGCCCGGGAAGTCTGGGCACTGTTGCTGGCCACCGGGAATGTCCCCTCAGGGGCCAGGAGTGGGTCTCTGGGGAGGGACGGGGGGTGGACAGGTAGCAAGAGGGGCTGAAAGGAGGCCTAGTGGGGAGGGGTGGACGGGGGTCTGGGGCACAGTCCTGCCTCTCTGGCCAGCACCCTGCGTGTCAAGCTGGGGAGAAGGAGTTGTGGGTGTAGGGGCAGTAACACTGGCCCAACCGCAGGGACCTGGGGACCCAGGGACCCAGGGACCCAGGGAGCTGGTCCTCCTGTGGGGGCTCCTCACTCACCAGCAGGGATCAGAGGAGCCCAGACAGTGTCCCCAGTCCCTCTGCTGAGTGTCAGCCCTGAGGACGGAGACAGGACGCTCCTGTTGTTCCCAGTTCCTGGAGGAGAGGTGACCAGACGAGCCCAGGCCCCCAGCTGGTGGGCAGTGGGCCGGGGACTGGCCAGCTCTGCTGACCCCCCACCAGGAAGGGAACGTTCCTCTTTCCTTCTGCTGATATTTGTCCACTGGTCATGGGGTCGCGCCGGGGGCCAGGGGTCCCAGCCTTGGCTGACACTCAGGACCCCACAGAGCCGGGAGGGAGGGAGGGTGTCTACACAGGTCCAGGCTGGTGGGGAGCCCTCAGGTCAGAGCACGGGCAGAAGTGAGGGGGCTGCCCACCCTGCTCAGTCTGCGGGGCCGTCACTTGGGGGCAGCCTGGGCACGGCAGCCCAGGGAGCGCAGGGTCACGGCCCCTGATTGTGTGTGGGACACACACGGGGACCACCTGCCCCACGGCTGAGCGAGCCCTGGACCCACGCAGCACACCCCTGGGAGTGGACACCCTGCGGAATCTCAAGAGGCTGTGAAGCCATTCTGGAGGTTTCTGGAATGTTCTGCCTGGGAGAACCTGCTTCTGGGGACCCCATTCTGCTGCCAGCTCTTGAAATAGCAGGCTGCCTCCTGACTCGACGTGCAGGCTGAGCGCCGCTGAGGAGTGACTAACGCCTGTAGAAGTGTGAGCAGAATCCTGAGGGGCTCCGGCGGCCGTGTGCACCTGTCCGGCCGGGACCCAGCCCAGCATTTGTCTGCGTGGCACGACGGGCCGCTGTGACCTGGTTCCAGCTTCAGAGCGACGCCAGGCTCTGGGGAGTGAGGCTGCCTTGACGTGGATGGACCTCGGGTGCTCTGGGCAGCTTTGTCCACGAGGCCTTTCATCCTCAGGATGGGAGACGCGCCCAGCGGGGATCAAAGACAAAGTGGAGGATGAGGCCATGGGCTGTTTCTCAACCTTCCTGGAACAGAGGGTCCTGGAGGGACTTTTTATTTATAAGTGACCTTGTTTGCTCTCCAGTTTCGGTCTGGTTTAAAACCATCAGGGTGTCTCTGATTACTTGAGAAATCAGAGCAAAAAATGGCAGCGGAGAGCCCTCCGTACCCATGACACCCCCAAATGGGAGGGCTGAGCCTGCCCCCTGCCTCCGCCGTCCTGCCCTCAGTGCCTGGCTGGTCTGAGGCGGGGGCCGCCTCCTTTCCCGTCCCTCAGGCACCGATGGGCTGCCCACCCAGGACGTGCTTGTGGCCACGGCCTCCATCCGCCTTGTGGAGCCTCTGCCCTGGGGGAGGCTGAGGACTGGGATCGGGAGCCAGGGCTGCGGAGCGGCCGGCCTGGGTTGGGATCTGGGATGCATGACCATGGCCGCCCCCAGCCACCCGGTGCCGCGGGTCCCCATCTGCACATGGACGGTTCCACCGCCTTTCTTCAGGTGGATGACCACAGGGGACGTGGCCCACTGCCCGCCCTCCGGCCTCGGCGTGCCGGACCCCACCTCAAGCCAGGGCCTCTCCCTCACCCCCGCCGAGGGACCCTGTTCTCCCGGGCAGTTCCGCCCCACTTGGAGCCGGCCCACAGTGCCCAGGTCTGTGTCTACCTTGAGAGGCTTCAGGGACGGAGCTAAGAGATCCTGCTGACCCAGGAGGGCAGCTGACCTGTGAGCACTGTCCCTGGAGCAGGGTGGGTAGGTGCAGAGGGCAGCTGGGCTTCAACCGTCACTCTCTGGATGCCGACCACCGTGGGGCCCCCAGCAGGATGCTCCTGGCCCTGAATAGCCAAGGTGTGGGCGTCCCGTCTGAGCCTCACTGTCCTCATCTGCACAATGGGGGTGCACTGGATGGCGTCCATGGTGCCCCTCCCACACTGCTCTGCCAGTGAGAACAGATGTCCCCATGAAGCAGCCTAGACCCCCGTATCTCCAAGGGCCCTCCCTGTCTCCCCCTCCCTGGCGCTTGGGCTCCCTGCCAGCCTCCCGTGGTTACCTTGGTGTCAAGGAGGGGACACAGAGAACCTGCCTCAGGAAGCATCAGGTTCTAGAAGGTATTTGTGGTCTGGAGGCCCGAGGGCGGCGGGCTGGGAGTGACCGTGTGTGTCTGTGCTTGCAGGTGAAGGAGGATTGGAAGTACGTGGCCATGGTCATCGACCGCATCTTCCTCTGGGTGTTCATCATCGTCTGCCTGCTGGGCACCGCGGGCCTCTTCCTCCCGCCCTGGCTGGCCGGCATGATCTAGCGGGAAGGGGCCAGGCACCTGCAGGACACCCGCGGCGTCTATGGGCCGCTCGCCGGGGCTCTGTGCCTGGCCGTCCAAGGGACTCCTGCATTCTGTGGGGTCACGTCATTTGCTAAATCGTCCCCCCATTTTCTGTCGACTGCAAGACGGCCTTGGGAAAGGCCACTGCCCCCGGGGGGGGCCGGTGTGGCTCAGCCCTGCTGAGACCTGCCGGGGGGCGGCCGGGCTGGAAAGGACAGCGGGTAAACGCCTGTTCTTGTCTGGAGGGCGGGGTCACTGCCCACATCTTATTAAAGTTTATCTGGAGCATGGTGACACATTGGCTTCCTGCCCCGGACGCGCGTCTGACCGCTCAGCATGCAGCCCAGCATGTCCCCCTGTCTGAGGGCCACGACCTCGGCCCCCCAGCCGCACACGCCCCTCGTCCCTGGGAGATCCTGGAGGCATCCTCAGGCGGGCTCTCTTGGACCCCACAGAGGCCGGGCAGCAGACTCTCAGACCTCATTTGCCAGGGGTGGGTCCAAGCAGGGATTTTCTTGTTTCGTTTTATTCTGGGTAAATTCGTGTCAGTGACGGTCTTGTGCCTGAGGGGCTTTGGGGAATGGTGTTGGGCCTGGGCCTGCTTGAAGGGGATGCATGCCCCACGGCGAGGGCACCCTTTGCCCCCAAGAGTCCGACGTCTGGCTTCCTGCGGTCCTGGAAAGTCCTGGGCAAGCATTTGCAGGGGCCTAGTGATGCGGCCAGAGTCCTGCTGGTCACCGGTAGTTTGTGAGGGCCCCGGAGCAGTGTCCAGACCAGGGGCTCCGGGCCCTTGTCCAGGCTCTCCCCGACCTGTGGGTCCCCCTCTATGCACAGCCCCTTGGGACGCCTCTCTAAAGCACAGACGTGGTAGCCACGGTGAGGGGTCCCTGAGGACAGCTCAGCCAGGCTGACCCCGGGGCCCTCTGGAGTGTGGTCCATGGGGCTGGGGCCCCTGAGAAATGGCATGGGGGGGGGACCAGCACAGCCGAGGAGACCTGAGGGCGCTGGCCTGGGGTACCTGGTCATCCTCTGCAAGGCGGCCCCAACAGTATCCCTGTGCCCCTGGGGGTGGCATGGGGGCGGGCAGGTGCTGCCCCCGGGCTCTCCCTGATTCTTTGGAGTCCTTAGGCCCCGAGTGCCAGGGAAGGGGGGGTAAGGACGATACTCATAGAGGACAAGGCCCAGGAGGCTAAGGAATCTGGGCCCCCTATTGATGGCCAAAATCCCACCTGCCCTGACCCCCTTACTTCAGGGGTGCCGCATGGCAGGTGGGAGCTGGCCCTGGAGCCCACCTCCCTGCCTGCGAGGTGCCCGGGTCAGGAGAGGGGCGCGGATGGTGACCAAGCATCTGATGGGCCTTGTTGCTGTGAGGCCCGACCGCTGGTCCCCCTCGGCAGCGACGCTGGGTGCACAAGAACCAGGGCGGCAGCCGCACCCTCGCCCTCCCCTGGGACATCTGTGACACTGGACCCCAACTGGGGCCCGGCCGGTCCTCGCATCCAGGAGAGGGATGCAGAGACCCCAGTGTCTAAGTCCGGGCATTCTCGCTGCTCCAGCCCCCAGGGCCCCGCTGTGACCTGCACCGGCCTCCCCGGGCGCCATCTAGGGCGGCCATCCCCACCTGGCGCGGGAGGCACCAGGCCCCCGCGGCGGGGCCGGACGTGGATTTCAGATGTAAGCGCCTCAGTCCTGACGTAAGCGGGTCCAGATGCACCATGGTGGCGCGGAGGGTCCCTGGCGCTGGGCCCAGCGTGGATGTTCTTTTCTGGGTCGGGAGAGACCACGGGGCTATGGCACGGAGACTCTCGCCTGTCCCTTTCTTGTTTTCAGTTTTTGTTGTGCTTTTTTAAGACTCAAACACCATGTCAGAAAATCCACACGCGAAAACTCAGCGCCATGTTCCCATCACACCAGATGAGCCACCACTGCTGTCTTGTCGTATTTGCCTCCAGGGTTTTGTTTTTTCCATCGAGGCAACATTTCCTTGTGACAAAGTGCATGATCGTCCGCACTTCAGTGAGTCTGATGGATGAGACACCAGGGACCCAGGACTCTGTTGCGCACAAGGGACGCTGCGGTCCCCGGAAAGCCCACCCGGCCCGTTCTGGCGGTAAGGGGGAGGCCTGCGGTGTGGGGCCCTCCCACCACCCTCCAGCCGGGGCGGCATCGCCAAGACCCATCGTGGTCTTGGGTCCGCCCACGAACTTGTAACAGTAGCTGCCGAGCGGCTTCATAAACGAGAGCAGGCTGGCTTCTGGGTCACCTTCCACAGTCTTTGCTCCCAGTCCCCGGGGCCCTGGCTCAGCGGCCGTGAGCGCTGTGCGGTCTTTGTGTGGAGCATATTCTCGCTTCCCGTTGTGTTAACCGTGTTTTTACGATCAGCATCTTGTGATGTCAGCACATCTTGGGGGCCTTACAGGCCTGGGGAGGGACAGCCCCCAGGGCAGCGGGGTCCCAAGAGTGACCGGCATCTGCCTAGAGTGCACTGGGCGAGTGCCCCCCGTCCCGCCTGTGGCCGGGCCCCACCACCTGCGTGCCCGGCTCTCCCGCTCCCCGAGCCACTATCCCCTGCCTCACCCACCCGCGGCCGGGTGCTGGGGCGGCCCCGTGCTCCAAACCAGCCGGTCCTGAGCCGTCCGCCCCACCCTGCCTTGGAAGCCCCAGTAAGGCTGTGGCCTGGGCCTTCCCCTCACCCTGCCTTTTGGCCCTGTGGGGCCCAGCGTGGAAATGAAGTCATAGATCCTCCTTTCAACATCACGGGCCTCTCCATGGCCTCACCTCGTCGCCTGTATGGGTGGAGACGGGCACGGAGGGCTGTCGTCATGCTGCTCGGTCACGGGAGCTGGCCGGCGCCCGGGTTCCTGAACTCAACGCGCACCTCTGCTTTCCCTCCACAAGTGTGTTCAGGTCCGGCTGTTCCCCACCCTCAGCAACCCCCAGGCCAGCAGGCCACGGCCCGCGGAGTTCTGCCTGCACGTGGCCACGCCGGCCACGGCCCACGGTGGCAGGCCTGGTGCTTCCATGGAGACCTCGTGGCCCACAAAGCAGGAGCTGCTTCCCGCCTGAGCCCTCACAGGACAGGTTCGTGATCCCGGTGTGCGTTTCTACCCCAGTAACCGCTTACCTGGACGATGGTCCCGGGCTCCGGTCCTTCTAGTCCAGAGTTTTCCCTTTCAGTCCGGATAAAAACGCCAAGTTGGGGGGCACCGCACGACACCGGGATGATGGCGGGGGCCCCTCCTCCACATCCTGCTGGCGCGTCCAGACATCTGCCTGCCTCATGGGCGCACCGACCAAGGCCACAGCTTGACCGGCTTTCCCTCAGACCGGCCGTGCCGCAGCCCCGCCCCCGGCATCTGCCGGTCTCGCCCGTTCTTGCATTTCGCGGAGAGGGGAGCACACGCTGGTGCTCGCACCAGCTTCCTTTCCTCAGCTGTGTCCACGCTCCGTCCATTTGCTACACGCAGCCCCAGGCGGTGGGCTCCGGCCGTCCCGCAGGATTCCGTGGCAGCCACACCAGCCTTCATCGACCCACCCCCTGCCGCTGGGCGCCTGGGCTGTCTCCAGTTTGAGGCTTAGGCGTAATCCCGCTGTGAACATCTCGGGGCACGTTTTGGTGCATCTGTGCATTTCTGTTGGTCATACCTCCAGGAGCGATTGCTCCGGGGTGGGACGTGCGTGCCCGCACCGTGTGAACTGCGGCCGATGGCTCGCGGTTGCGTCCCTTTGCTCCCCGCCCCCGCCGCACTGAGGCTTCTCGTCTGCGCCGGTCCCGCGAGGACACAGCCGCGTCTCACCCTCACTGAGCTGTCACCGGCACTTCTGCAGCTCGGTAGCGAGGCCGGGTTCTTACCATATGCTCCTCGCCTGCTGCATAAATCGTGCTCTTGTCCTTTAGCCAGCTTCCCAGGGCTCAGTGTGGGCTTCTGATTCAGTCCCACTGCAGACGGTTTGATTTTACATTCGTGACGCTTTGGGGCCCAGCGTGTGGTTGATCGCAGCCCACGTTCCACATACGCTTGACAGGGAGGTGCGGCTTGCCATGGGGAATGTTCTAGAAATGCCGGCCAGGTCAGGTCAGGGGAGAGGTCTGGCTGGGCGCTGCAGACGGCTGGCCTGTCTACTTTCCGTCCCGATTCCTGAGCGGCTGTGTGTGTCACCGAGGACCACTGTGGCTTTGTCGGCTTCTGCTCTCTCTGTCACGTCTGGGGCCACTGTCCTCCTGCCGAACGGGCCCGTTTACCCTTACGTAACTCCCCCCTTTGTCTCGGGCGGTGTTCTGGGTTTCGAAGTCTACCTTTCCTGACAACTACATAGCCGTTCAGCTTCCTTTTGGGGGTGTTTCCACCTTTAACCACTAACCTGACTCATATCAGTGTTTACGACGTGGACGACATGTGGATACCACCCAGGTCAATAGACGGAGCATTTCCATCACCCCAGGACACCCCTCTGCTCCCCAGGGAACCACCGCCCCAACCGCCACCGCTAGAGAGGCTTCACGTGTTCTAGAACCTCGTGGAAATGGAAGACACTCCTTTGCGGATGGCCATTCCTCCACAGTTTGTACGAGATCGCTCGTGTCCACGAATGCACCGCCATGTCTTTATTCACTGATGGACATTTGGGACGTTCCTGGTTGGCGCTGTGATGGATGATGCTGCTTCACACACTCACACACGAGTGTGACGTGTTTTCTTTGTGTGGACGTGTTTTCATTTCTTTGGGGCAAATACCTAGAATTTCGGGGCCGCAGGAGACTGGTGCTTCTGTCTTTGTAAGGAGCTGAGAAACTGCCCGGCCGTGCACCCCACACCCCTGCAGCCACCCTCAGCGACCCCTGGGTGTGGGTCACGCGGCAGCGGTGACGAGCCGTCCAGGGCAGCCCGCACTTCGGTTCACTTCCCTGAAGACCCGCGGCATTGAGCACCATGCTGGGGGCTCCCTGGCCAACCGTGTGTCTCGCTCAGTGAAGTGTTGAAATATTTTCTCATTACATACCGCTTTCTTCCAACGAGTTGTTAGTATTTCTTCCCATCTGTGACTATGTTTTTCATTTTCTTAACGGTGTGTTGAAGAAAAGCTTTTAATTTCGATGAGGTGCGATTTATTACTGTTCCCTTCTATGGTTATTGCTTATGGATCCTTTCTAAGAAATCTGCTTATCCTGAGGTTGTATGTACGTATGTATTTCCTTCCAGAAAGTTTGGTTTTAGCTTTTATGTTTCAGTTTACTTTTTTAAAGATTTTATTTATTTGCGAGAGAGGGAGGGAGAGTGAGCATGAGAGAGAGAGAGCAAGAGAGAGAGAGAGAGCAAGAGAGAGAGACACAAGCATGAAGGAGAGGCAGAGGGAGAAGCAGGCTTCCCGTGGAGCAGGGAGCCCGAAGCGGGACTCAATCCTGGGACCTGAGATCATGACCTGAGCTGAAGGCAGACGCTTCACTGACTGAGCCCCCCAGGTGCCCCTATGTTTCAGTTTATAACATTTTTCAAATTAGTTTTTGTGCATGGTTTGAGATGAGGGTGGGGGTCAATGCCTTTGCCTCAAACCTCCAGTTGTCTCTGCACCATTTGTAGAAAACTCCATCCTTCCGCATCGAAATGCCGAGCACAGCTGCCTCTCACCTTCTCTTGGCCTTGGTGGTTCTTGGTCCAATCCTGGCTTCTCTGTCCCGGCTAGAAACAGAAAGCTGGGTCTTGCCTTTCCACGCAATTTGGAGAGCTCATCTTTTGACGAGTTAAACTCACTTATATTTACTGTAATTTCTGCTACATTGGGATATGTTTAAGCTGTTTCTCTTTTCTGTTTACATGTTCTGTCCCCTCCCATAAAAGAAAACTTGACCTAGTTGGCTAATCTTGAAGGTTTTACGTTCTAATTTTTTCCTCCTGGTGGCTGCTCCCAACTTAAGACCAAGGTTTGCATGTTTTAAGAATTTAATAAATTGATATCATGCCGCCCACTGCCAAATAAAGCAAGCGCTTTGGTTGCCTTCAGGAACCTGCCCTCCCACACACCAGCCACCGTGGAAGGATCTAGAATTGTAGTGATTTGTCCGTGTGGAGGGCTTCATTATTCAGTCAGTAGCAAATTTCATTGCCTTTCAGTGACTACAGGGTTTCCTGTGTATTGGGTCTAATTTCTGGTTATTCTCCCCTTTCTGCAGAAGGCCCCCAGCTGGATTGCCAAAGAGAATCTTGTTGCCCCTTCTGAGATTTGTGGACTCAGAATATGTTTTTACCACATTGACTTCAGTGATAATTCCACTGGATGTAAAATTTGAGTACTTTTTCTTCAACACTTCGGGTCATTATGCTCCTGTCTCCTAACACAGAGCTGACTCCTAAGGAATATTTCTATTATCTTTGTCGTGTTTTGCATTAAAGAATCTAAGGGTGTATTTTTTTTTTTTTTTGAGAGGGGCGGGAAGGGTCAGAGGGAGAAGGAGAGGACCCCGCGATCCCAGGACTCTGGGATCATGACCTGAGCCGAAGGCAGACGCTTAATGACTGAGCCACCCAGGCGCCCCTCTAAGGGTGTACTCTAAAAATCGATCCCATTTGGTTCTCTAAGCCTTTCAGTGTAAGGTCTCAGATCTTCTCTAATTTTAAAAATGAAGTATTTCAACACTCTGCAGTCCTCATTCACTCACCGCCCCTTTTCTCTTGGACCCCCGCCATGTGGATGTCGACACTCACATTCTCTTTTTCATTCCGTTTTGAGCCCTGGGGAGACGTCTTCCGGCTGGTCCTGTAACTGCCCCGCCTGCCTTACTCTTGCTTCTCCTTTTGTGTCCTCCATGCTGGGCTGCCGATGGTCTTTTCTTCATTCTTGTTAATTCTGGCTTCGTGTCGTTGCTGTGCATCCTTCCCTCTTTGACGGTGTTGTGATTTTTAGGTCAATGGCGGACGGGACATGCGTCCATGCTGGTCTGGTGGAGGCTGTCTGCCCAGGTCAGGCTCTGCTCCCCTGAAGCCTTGCTTTCCCGCTGCACTGTCTCCCAGACCGGTGGTGGCTGCCTGTGGACGCGGGTGCGGCGGGTGTACGTTCGGGCACACACGTGTGTACGTGTCTGCGAGTGCGTGCGTGGGAATGTGAGTGTGTGCAGAGGGTTTGGGTGCTGCTGTGGCCTCACGTGGACACGTGCCATCAGCCACGGGCTGAGGTCGGGAGGGCAGGCGGCAGGCTTGCTGTCTCTCCAGCCCGCCGAGCCGGGTCGGAGGTGGCAGGCAGGGCCGTGGCAGATTGGGGCGGGCAGGGCGGGGAGCCGATGCCCAGTCCTGCTGGGCTCTCATGCTGGATGGCAACTCCCTCCCCTGCCTCCCCAACCGAACAATCCAGGGCGGGCGCCTCCCGTCTGCCCCCGCCGACGGTGCCCCCCGGGCCGAGCCTGGCCTGCCTTCACACCCAGAGAACCAGCCCCGAGGCTTCCCCTCACTCTGAGACAGCGGCCCCCACACTTCTGTCCCCATGAGCCCCGGACTCGTCACCTCCTCTGCCCTTGGCTGCCAGGGGGCACCTGGAACCTGCTCGCCCACCCCAGACTGCTCACCCCAGGGCTCAGCCTCCGCCAGCAGCCCGTCCCGACCTCCACCTGCCCTCACCACCTCCGTCTCAGAGGACAACGGACGAGGTCCCTGAGGTCTTACCCACAGATCGTGCAAAGCAGACACCAGGTCCCATCAGTCCCCTGCTCAGAAGCCCCGGTGGCCTGCTCCAAGTCCAGACCCCATACCCCTGTGCTGCCCGAGGTCTGGTGGGGCTGACCCTGCCCCTGGCCCTAGGCTCAGCTTTCTCTGTCCTCGCCGCTCCAGCTTCTGCAGCCTCCCGCCGTCTCTGGGCGGTGCCGTGGTCCTGGCCTCCCGCGAGCGGTGGCCCTGCTACAGCCTTCTCCTGCCTGCCACGCCCCTCTTTGTTTCTGTCTCGCTCCAATGTCACCTCGGAAGGCTTTGTTGGCCTCCGCATCTAAAGGAGGCCCACCCCAAATTCCTCCTAGTCTGGAACATGATGTGGTGTCGACAGGCCGTAGCAGATGTGGCCCCAGACCCGCAGCTGGTGAGGTTTCTAAGTGAGTGAGTGTGGGGCACGGCCAGGGGCTGGTTACAGCACCAGCTGCTGGGCGGGAGCAGGGGGGGGCCCTGGCAGTGACAAGGCAGGGGGCCGGCCAGTCAGGGTCCCCACAGGGCCCAAGCACGTGGGAGGGGAGCCGGACGTTATGACATTAGAGAGGGGGCTGCTACTAGGGAGGTGGGGAGCCCCCTGAGACTGCCCAAACCCAACGCCTGGCTGGGCCCAGGAGGTCAGTGTTTGAGGGGGGGCTGGGCACCGCGTTCAAAGCACCCCCCCCACACCGGTAGCTCAGAGTGCAGCTGAGAAACCGCGTCCTGGGCAGAGTCACGCGGTAACGGGGTGACGGCGGGGTGGGGGTCCTCGAAGCCATGGGAGGATGGTAGCTTCTCTCTGAGGGCCAGGGGTGGGGAGCCTTGGACTCCACTTGGCAGGGATGGACTCTGGGCCCTGGGGACACCCCTCCCTGTAGTGAGCAACCCCCTGCCTTGGTGAGCATGCTGCAGTTTATCCGAGCATAGAAAACAGTACAAAAGAAAGGCTCCCCACCGCCCTCCTTCCACTCCCAGGTCCCTCCCGCACTCGCTCCTCCTGCCGGCACAGCCGCTCTCGGTGCCCAGAGTCCGGGGAGGGGTGCAGGGTCACTGTGGGCAGCACGGGAACCGTCCTGGCAGGAGAGAAGGGTGGGCAGGTCTGAGCCAGACCACAGCAGCCCAGCCCGCCTGGCACCGTGGACCCGAGCCCCCCGGGTCTCAGTGTGTCCAGCAGAGCCATGAGCCTGCAGCAGGCTTCTCCTCCTCAGGGCGCTGCTCCCACATGCCTCCTGCCCTGGTCCCTTTACCCACCCGGGTCAGGTGCCCGCGGTGGTGTGCCCCGGTCTCCCCTCCTGACATGCTCGCCCCGGCCGGTGTCTCCCTGGGCTCTCCTGGCTTCCCCACATCTGCCCACAGGCTTGTGATGTTCCCCCAAGGCCCATGAACCCCCCCATTCCTTCATCCCAACCAGCCAGGAGGCCCTGCTCCTCGGCGCCCGCACTCTCTGTCCATGCTGCACCCCCACTTCGCAGCTGCCCCTCGGGGCTCCCCTCCCCACAGGTGGGGGCTCACCTATTCTTCCCGGGGGTCCCGGAGGCTCGCTTCCTTTAGGCTGAGGGCTGCCCATGTGACTGAGGGCTCTGGGCTCGCCTGAGCAGAAGGAGGGCATGGTCGAACGAAGAGGTGCAGAAAGCAATGCTTTCCTTTCCCTTCTCAGGGACCCTGTTCTGACTGACGGGAAGGTGGGTGCCCGAGCCCCAAACAGATACCAGCTGTTGGCTCCGCCGCCAAGTTGGGGAGGCTCGGTGGGGGGGTCCTCATGACAGCCTTGTCAAACCTCAAAGGCCATGTCTGGGGAACTGTGATGGGCCATGGTGGGCAGGGGTTCCCATGAGTGAGGCCTGCTCCCCTAACCCAATGCACAGCCCGGGGGTGAGGCAGGACCCCTCCCTGCCCACAGCACAGTGCCCCAGCCCCACCCTCTTCCTTTCTCCCTGATCCAGGCCCATGAGCTCTGTCTCCCCTAATCAGCCTCCCATCCATCTTACCACCTGAGCCGTGACCAGCACTGCAGCCCCAGTCAGATGGAGGGACCAGGACAAGGTCATCAGACCAAGCCTCCTGGGGCATCAGGCATGTGAGCATGCGGGGAGGAGGATGGGGGAGGGGATGGCAGGACAGCAAAGGACCCTAATCTTGGGCATCCTGGGAGAGTGGGGAAGGGGCCCCTTTGAGGACCCCAGGAAGCCAGGCAGTGTCCAGTCCTGCCTAAGTGACCTCTGTGTGGGCTTGGGGGCCCGGGGAGGGTGGGGAGTCCTGTACCTGGAGAGGAGCTGCAGGGCCCCTAGACCCTCCCCACAGGGCCAGTACCTCTGTTCGCAAGGTGGGGGCCAACATCTCCCCCTTCTCCAGGGAGCCAGGCCTCACTGAGTGTGCCGGGGTGCCTGGGGGCCTCCCAGACGGGCCTGGGGGGCCTGGCGCTCTCACGGAGAAAGGAGTGGAACTTCAGCACATGACCTGGGGGTTGGGGTGGAGGGGGCATCAGCAGGGTGGGGCACGGGGCACAGGGGCCCCCACGTGCCTTCCCCCCCTTACTCCATGGTGCATGGCCAAGGAGAATGGCCGGGCCAGGCTGGGACTGCTAGTGACGAGGGGCCCAGGCTGCTGTGAGCACAGAGGCTGCACGGGGGGCACGGGAGGCTCTGGGGTCCTCACGAGGAAGCTACACCACTCACTCTGGATGGCAGACTCGCAGGCCTGGCTCAGGAGCTGGTAGATGGTGGCCAGGGACTGTGGCTCGCCCTGAAAGGGAGGATGGGCCATGTGGCCACGTTCCATGACCGGCGGCATGAGGGCCAGTGCCTCCCCCATGCTCCCAAGGAAGTGCCCGGACCCCAGACAGGGGCCTACTCACCTTCTCTCCTCGCTCCCCTTTGGGTCCTGGCAGCCCCTGCAGTGGAGGAAAAGGAGAAAAGCAGGTCAGGACAGAGAAGTAAACCGACAGCAGAGGAGATGTGCCTGGACCCCATCCTGGCTCCCCTCTGGGCGGAGTGAGTGCTGCATGCCAGGCCCGGGGTCAGCTCCCCTCTGGGCAGGTGAGGGCCACGTGCCAGGCCTGGGGTTGGGGTCGGCATCTCCTGACTCTGCTCCCGGTGGGGGCGGGGGTCCCACCCATCTGGCAGGAGGTAGATCAGGCAAAGCAGAGCCTGATCCTAGGGAGCTGGCTGCAGGGAGTCCCCAGTGGACAAAGGGTCTGCCACTAGCAAGCCAGCCAGCCAGGGAGGCAGAAGCCCGCCAGGCCTGTACGGAATGCGTCCCCGCCCCTGGACCTGCCTTCCTCCCCGTCCCCAGCTGGAGCCCCCTCCTTGGCTTGTCGGCCCAGGTCTGCCCCCACACCCTGGAGCCCACAGCCCCACCGTCTGTGCCCCACCTGTCCTGGGTCTGGGGTCTGGCAGGGGCAGCTCCGGGCTCCCTCTGCTCTGGTGAGCCCCAAACCCAAGCTCTTTACAGGCCTGGCTTTACAAAGTGGCCTGATCGGTGGGGAGGGAGGAATTTGCTCACATTTGCTCCCTGCCTCCCCACTCCTGGGGAGCTGGTAGGTGGGAAGGGGACTTACCGTGGGCCCCACGGCCCCTGGGGGTCCTCTCTCCCCACCGGTGCCCCTGGCCCCCGCCGTGCCCTGGAAGCCCTGCAGAGGTGTGGAGGGGCGGTTGGCTGCAGGCCCTGGACAACGAGGCCCCTCCTCCGTCCCACCCTGGCTCCCTGTGGTCTGGGTCCCTGTGGCCTTGGACCCACACCAGATCCTTCACTCCTCCCAGCCTCCCGCAGGCTGCGCCTTATCGCCCACTTCGGGGCCGGTCCAGGCCCCGTATGCAGGGCAGAGCCCTGCCCGCCCCACCCCTCAGCTCTGATTCTTCACTAAAACAGCCCCCACCCCCGGCTCTGTTCCAGCCATCCTGAGTGTGACCACGGTCCTCCCCCCAGCCCCCGCCCCCGCCCCCGGCCCCGGGCCCCTGGCGGCCTCTTGCGGGACAGGCACCTGGCCGAGGCCACCTTGGGTGCCCCCATTCAGAGCAGCATGGACCCGGTTGGATGGGGAGGGCAAGTGCTTCTGAGTGAGGCAGCTGAGAGGGAGAAGGGGGCCCAGGTCACGTCCTGTAGCCAGCCTCACCCCTCCACCCTCCCCGGGCAGACCCGGCAGCCCGGGCACTTTGCCGCCACGTGGATCTCGCACAGGGGTGCCTGGGGCTGTCCAACCTGCCCAGGGGAGGCTGGAAAGACCCTCCCACAGTGTGCGACAAGCCTCTGGGCACAGGGCACTCGCACACCCAGCGGAGCTCTGCAGGGTTCCAGCCCAGGAGGAGAGGCCTCCCCGGGTCACCTCCTCTAGCTGTGGCCTGTGTTGTGTTCAGCCCTGAGGAGGTGGTGGGAGGAGCCTCGCAGGGCAGGTGGTACCTACCCTCGGGCCCGGAGGTCCAGGCAGGCCAGCGCTCCCCTCCAGGCCTCGCATTCCCTGAGGGCAAAGGAAGGGGCAAGCTGGGGCGGGGAGGGGGCCCGGCACCCCTACACGCCCTCCCGTGGATGCCCACGTGGCCGTCATGAGCAGACAGGCAGTGACCCGTCCCTGTGAACCTGTGCGACACTCTGAGAGCCCATGAGGCCAGCCCAGCTCAGGGCCCGCCTCCCCGCCCAGGGCAGTGACAATACCCCCCCGCCCCCGCCACTGGCCAGGCCACCGCCCCCTCAGCCTCTGTCCAAGACCCTCCCGTGGCAGGCTTCTCTCCCACCTTTGGTCCCTGGAGGCCGACCTTCCCGGGGGCTCCCTGGTGACCGGGATGGCCCTAGAAGGGAACAGAGACGGCTGGCCAGGCTGAGGCCAAGGTCTGAAGCAGAGGAGACCCATGTCCCCAGCCCACGCCCTCCCTGCCCACGTGCCCTGAGTGGAGTCTGATCCCACTACCTGCAAGCCCGGGAGCCCATGGTCCCCTTTCTCTCCTTTGACCCCTGGCGGACCCTGGAGAGGAAAGAGACTCAGCGGCTAGTCTGTCCCAGAGGACGGGGGAGGGGCAGCATGGAGGAGGGGGAGGGGAGGCAGCACCTACCACAGGTCCCTGCACGGTTCGGCCCTGGGTCCCTGGGGACCCCTGCTGACCTCCAGGACCCTCAGGCCCCATCTGTCCAGGTGGCCCAGGCTCCCCCTGCAGATGCAGGTGGGGGAGGAGCTGAGAGGGCCCGAGGGGCCCTCCAGCAGCCCCTCCCTCGGTCCTGTCCTCAGTGACCCTCCTGGCCCTCCGGCTAACTTTGGTACCAGACCAGGGCTTGTGCAGAGACGTCTTCACCCTCCCTGCCCACCCCGGGAGGGGTCCTGCTGAGACCCTCTCTACTGCCGGGAACAGGCCGCGGCCGCGGCTCCAGGTCACGGAGCCCGGGCCTGCTCTCCCTTCCCAACCCGGAGGCGTGCAGAAACCACCGTGGCAGAGCCGACCCAGGCAGGCCAGTCACAGACTCAGCCTCGCTGGAGCTTTCTCCCAAATCTCTAAGGGACAGGGGACACCCGCTATTTCTACCGGTTGGGATTGCGGGGGGCGGGGGGATGAGAGAATGCCTTCAGGCAATCTTTGTGAATTGAGCATATCGATGTACCGAACTCTGTAAAGAAAACTGCAGACATTCTCATGTGTGAATATCAGTGAGAAAATCCTCAGTAGGACATCGGCAGACAGAGCCCAGCCGCACATCACGTGGGTGGGAGGTACCCCGTTTATGCAAGAGAGCAGTTCAGGATTCAGGAAGACACTAAGATCATCCACCAAACTAACAGCTCCAGGGAGAAAAATTATTTGGCTGTGTCCAAAGCAGCAAATCTTACTTAATATCCACACTTGAGTTTTTAAATCTAAGAGCGCACGGACATGGCGATCACACAACCCGACGCATCCCTCTCTGCTCCCAAGCCTGCTCCGCACAAACACTGGTGTGGCAAACGTGGTCACAACTCACATGTGTGGCTGATTTCCATAAAGTATACTGTGCTCCCAAGAATTAGTAAGAAAAGTACCCAGGGGAAAGCGTTCAAAGGACATTTGTCCAACAAGAAAATTCCAGCAACTTCCACAGGGTGTTGGAGCTGCTTTAGGAGAAAAGCCAGTTAAGACGGTGTCAACACAGTTCACCTGTCAGAGTGCTTATGGTCAGAGACGAGATGAGATTTGCAATTTCTGGGGTGGGGTGGGAAGCTGGCCGCTCCCTGGGGAGGGCACCTTGCTTCTAGTTGTGGTGCTCACTCCTGCATTCTAATGAAAGGTAGGGTCCAGCCCCATGGGACTCCCCCCTACTCACCCTGGGCCCTGGGAAGCCCTGCTCTCCTGGGGCTCCGATCCTTCCAGGGAGGCCCTGCAAGGGCACGGTCAGGGCTCAGCGCCGTCCACCCGAGGGCCCCACAGCATTGCCCTGGACTGCAGTCCCCAAGTTTCGGTGGAGAAGGGGAAGGGTCTTTCGGGGCAAGAGAATCCTAGCCCATCCTTCCCTCCCACAACCTCTTGGTAGAGCAGACTCCTGTTCCGGCAGGTCCTGGTTCAAATCCTGGCCCCTGTCTGGTGTGGACCGCCGAGCATTCCCACTGCAGGCCCCGCCCCATGGGGGGGTCCAGGGCCTGGAGAGCCACCTCCCAGGCCCCACAGCGAGTACCCAGGACAGAGGCCACCCACGTGGCTGACTCGCCACACCCACTGGCCACCCCCAGCACAGGGTCGCACTCCCACCAGGATATTGGGGATATGCTGGATCCCCAGACAGGGGTCAGCCCAGGGGAGGGCAGCTGCAGGGGGTGGGGAGGAGAGGCTGGGTGGACGAGGCAGCTGGGGGACGCAGGAGCACGTCCCATCTTGGAGGCAGGCTGGGACAGCTGCTCGGTGCTGTGGCAGCAGGATGTTGCCGGGAGCCCGGGTCACCCCAGGGGAGGAGAGGATGGACTCACCGGAGGTCCTTGGGGCCCCGGGGGCCCAGGGGTCTGCGAAGAACAGGTGCAGGCGGAAGCGGAAGGGAAGGCCGGGCAGGTCTCTCCATCCTTCTGGGGGAAAGGAGACCCCACTCATTAAGTGGCCCCCTAGCTGTTCTCATCTGACCTAGAGCTCCGAGTAGCCACAGACACCTGGGTTCCAGGACACCTGGGAGGCTGGGAATGAGGGGCAAGGACCCCACCCTGGGCGCCACCCCCCAGGCTGCCCCACCCAGGCTGTCTTCCAGTCCCTCTGGAGCGTGGCCAAGCCCGGTGTGGGTACAGCGTGAGGAACCCTGCCCACACCCATAGGTTGCGGAGGCCGCCCGAGTCTCTGGCAGTCCCTCTGGCTTCGCCGGATGAGCGCCTTCCTGGCCCGCTGCGTACACCCCAGCTGTGCCCACAGAAAAAGGCTGTGGCCACCCCTGCCGCTGGGACTTCCTGACACGCTCCAGCCTGCCTGGCCCCCAGGGCCTCCGGGACACTTGCATCCGGCTGCCCAGGGCTCCGGCTCTGGCCCAGAGGCCACCTCCTCCGGGAAGCCTGTCTTGATCTCTGCCAGCACCGTGATGGTGGACATGCTGTCCGCCCCCAGACTCTGGGACCCGCGGCAGGCGCTAGGCCACGCACCGCCGCAGGGAGCTCGCAGCACACGTCTTCCTCTGCCCAGGACTCGCTGCACACGATCTGCAGCATCTGCAGCTGGAACTATGACACAGAGCAGGGTCGGCCAGACGAGGCTGCGGTTCTGTGGCCCCCTCCAGCCCAGCCCAGCGGGACCAGGTCCGTGCTCACTGTGGCTGAGCTGCTCCGGGGGCCCCGGGCCTTGGCCAACCTCCCCAGCATCACGAAGCCCGCGGCAGGCGGGCTGCCCGCCTCCCCGATGGGCCTCTCGGCCACCTTCCGGCAGTCCACGTAGAGTCTGACCCTGGAGCGGCCCACAGCCACGTGCACCTGCCGGACACCAGAAAGGTTCCCCTGCAGCCCCAGCGAGGGTGGGCACCCGCCTGTGCCCACAAAGCCAGGCCACCAGTGGGGCCCAGCACCTGGCGCTCAGGATCCTAACTCCACCCCAGGTCTCACGAGGCCTCAGTTTCCCCTTTATAGACCAAATCACACCTGTTGCAGACCCCTCCCAGGGATTTGTGGGACCCAGGAAGGGCTGGATGCTCTTTGACCCAAATGAAGACCTCTGTCTAGAGGGGACCGTGGGGCAGAGGCTCGGACAGGCCAACGTGACTTTCAAGGAAAATGGGGGGGAGCGGGGGTGGGGCGGGGAGAGCCGGTGTGTGACGGGCAGCCGGGTGTGACAGGTTGGGAGGTAGGCACGTCTTGCGGGTCCTGTGTGTGTGGGGGGGGTCTGCTCCAGAACTTGGGGAGCGGGGGCTGGTCTCGAGGGGCGCACTTCAGTCTTTCAGGAACCTTCCAGGACCTTGTGGAAGCTTCCAAAGAATATCCTCCTCACTTCAGGCAGGTCAAAGGTGACCTCTTGCAAGGTGGCCCTGGGGTCGTGGTTGAAGTAGGTCAGAGACTTCCTGCCAGCTGCAGGGGAGGGGTGGGAGCACGTGAGACCCCCAGAGCAGAACGGGGTGGCCCCACGGTCGGGCAGCATGCAAATGCACCCCAAGCCTCAGGGGCCCGAGCTGTGGACGCCTCTCGCTGAGCCTGGGGCGTCCCCGGCCTGGCCTGGACACAGACCTCCTTAGGACCCACGGACCTGGGCCCACCACCCTCCCTGTGGACTGACCGTCCAGCAGGACCCCCAGGACGGGCTGGAAGTCCTCAGCCGTCATCTGCCACAACGCGAAGCTCTCGCGGGGGGTCTCAGGCAGCACACGCAGCAGGAAGACCACCGTGTACTCTGGTGGGGGGGCAGCCAGCTGGAGGCCACTGTTGGAGCACAGGCGGGGGGCGACTGCAGGCCTGGGACGGGGTGGGGTCCCGCCATCCCCCAGAACCACGGGACTGCAGGGCGGGGGTCCACCACCAAGCTGGGCCTCTCCTGCCTCCGTTCCCCAGCAGTAACACTGGGTATGTGAGGGACAGAAGCGCCCCCAGGCTGGTGCGGGTTCAGCGAGACATGCTCTGTGGCTGGGACCGAAGGCCACCCCACCACAGCCTGTGTTCACGACACTCCTGGGCAGGGTCCTCCAAGACCCCATCCTCCAGGGGCTCTGCGGGGGCGGAAGGGGGCAGGTCATGGGGGCCTGGCAGGAGGGTCTCTGGGCCTGTGTCCTGGGGTCAGGAGCCCACAAGCCCACAGGCAGCTCTGCCCTCGGGAGTTGCTCCCACGGACCCGAGCTTGCTGGAGTGCTCAGAGTGGGCAGGCGGGGGGTCTGTGCCAGTGCCCACTGGGGCATGCTGAAGGGTGGGAAGGTCAGGGAACAGGGTGTTAGGTCACCCAACAACAGTGTTCCTAAAGGCCTACAGCCTCGCTCTTTGCCCTTCATTTGCTCTTAGGATAACCAAGAGCCCCAAAGACCCAGACCTGTCCATTCCTGTGGTTCTCTAAGCAAACTGACCCCAGGGCCTTGGCACGGGCTGCTCCTTCTTCCTCAGTGCCCTTCCCTTTCCCTATTGTCTCCCTGGTGGCCCTTACTTGTCTGCCACTTCCCTGGGGAGCCTTTCTGACCCCAACACAGGGAGGGACCCCTCTGCTCTTAGCAACCCAGAACCCCTCTTGTGGCAGCTACCACGGTGGGGGGACACTTGTGCTGGGTGGCCTCGCCTGGGGTGGCTGATCACATCTGGAGCGGGGGCCACACCAGCAGAACCGTCGACAGCGAGGGCCTGGGAAAGTCTGCGCTTGCAGAAAAGGGACACGCACGGCAGAGCCGCCATCGTGTGGCCTCCATCCAGGGAGGGTAGACCTCAGGGCCCCAGACGCTCAGAGCAGCCCGCCCCGATAAAGAACCCCAGATTCAAGCTTGGCCGGGAGGAAGGGGCCTCTGAGAAAGAGACCGGCTTCAGCCACCCACATGCACAGGGAGACCCGTCACCACCTGTTACGTTAACATAGGAGCAGGTTGGGCTGGGCGGGAGGAAGAGGACGGTGAAGGAGCTGTGAGCTCAGACGGGAGGACGGCGGCGGGCAGAGCGGCACCTGCCGTAGCCACACCCACCACGCCCGCCATGCCCGTGCTGGGCAGAAAGGCCTGAATCGTAGCAGCGCGCGGGGAGTGCTGTGCAGTGATCTGCTTCGTACTTTTCAAACTCCCAGCACAAAGCATGTGACCGTGCTGATAACGTGCAGCATTTAACTCAAGGAAGAATTATGTGTATCACAGCTCCCGTTTGATTCAGGATCTCTCCACAAACAAGGCCGGGTGCTTGTGAGCTGCTGGGAGCCCCCAGCCTTGCTCACGGCGGGTCACGGGGTGGCGCCTGCGGAGCACTCGGCTGCTTGCAGATTTGCCTGACCCACGCCCACCGGGACGTGGGAGTTCTCAAGGGACACAAGCTTCTATGCAGAAGTCTGCAAGTCTGAGCAATGCTGGGGCCACGTGGGAAAAGGACCTGCACGTGGCCTTGCTCCACCCACGCAAGATTTATTCATCTGTAAAACCCCACCTGCTCAGGGGAGTCCCTGGTCGGCTCTGGGGGCTTGAACCTGCCACAGCCCCCCCCAGGGGGGCTCGGGGGACGTCACAGGGGGGATGTGGCCACCCGCCCCTCTGGGGCCCAGTCCACCCCCGGCCCCCCACCTGGCCCGGCGGGTCAGCTGAGCGTCCTTGAGGAGCGTGAAGGTCCGGGCACAGCTGAACGCCGCGCGCTCCATGGCAACACCACGGATGGAAGCGTACTCCTTCTCCACCAGGCCGAAGGCCGCCATGAGGTCGAAGCCTGCATGGCCATGGCAGCAAGGAAAGGGTGATCGGAGACTCGAGGTGAGGGAGGGAGGCAGGGGCAGGAGCAGAGAGGAGCCGCCCAGGACGCGCGCAGACGGGAAGACGGTGACCATGAAGACTACTGACGGATGCACACTCAGAACCTGCAGGTGGGTGGGAGTCGGGCGCCCGGGGCCCCCCACAGCGCTCCAGGGGGTGACCCCACCACACCCGGTAGCGGCCAGGGTGCCCAGCAGCCGGCCACAGCACCCGCCCCGACTCAGCGGGCTCAAGGCGTTTGCATCTCCTCTGACGTTAGGGGCACCGCCCCCGCTCCGGGCAGATCTCCCACTCACAGGTCAGCCCCGTGTCGGGGAGCGTCCCCATGTGACCCCCGGCCCTGGCCCCTCACCCAGCTCCCGGTTAGCAGAGAGCCTGCAGGAAGCCGTACAGGACCCAGGGCCCCAGCCTCGTCTCCGCATGGCCATGTCCCAGCTGTGACCGCGACAGAGACGTGAGAATAAAGGCCTGGCCAGCCTCATGGGGAACCCCCTACGAAGGTGAGAGTCCTGCCTGACCGCCTCTACCGACCCCGTGACCCTGGTGCCCTGTCACTGCCCCTTCATGGCGGGTGGGGGTCCCAGGCCACCTTCCCCGGGAGGACGCAACAGGAGGAGGAGGAGGGACAGGTGGGGGTGGCGAGGGAGCTCAGCTGTCACACGGTGGGGGGCCTACCTGGGAGGGGGCCATCGGGGCTGAGGGCGGGGCACGCTGCTGGGAGACAAAGGGAGTCCGGATCAGTGGCGAGGGTCCTCGCCTCCACCTGGGGCCCCTCATGGCCAGGTGCCCTGCCCTCAAGTCTACGGTGCCTTGGAGCCACGTCCCCATCCACACACGCTTGCTGGTCTCCAGGCTTGTGGTCCCCACACCTCAGGGACGGGATGGGGAAGGGACAGGGACGGTGTCCTGCTCCCCCGGGGACAGTGCCTGGGCCAGGGGTGCTCCCATTGGGTGCTGCACCCCAACACTGGCCACCCGTGTCCCAGGTGGCAAGGCCAGGGAGATGCGTGGCTGTGGGGACACGCTAACCTGGGGCGTGTGCTGACCTGGCCTGGCCATGCAGGCTTACTCCATGGCCAGGTGCACAGGAGGTGCTCTGAAGCTATCCATGGGCTGGTGAAGGCCCCACGGAGGAGGGAGGTCCCCATCCCCAGGGGCATTCAAGCCAAAAACTAGATGACCCCGTGGAGGGACACAGAGGGAAGCTGGAGTGGCCGAGCTGAATGGCCTCTGAGGGTCCTCTGCTCTGAGCGTCTGTGATTTTCCAAGAAAACCAACATACAGCCACAAACAGAATCAGCAGGATCCTCTCTGCTGGGCCCTGGCCTGTGGGTGGCAGTCCCCCAGGGACCACGGATGTCCTGTCCATGAGCTTGGTGCATCGAGGGAGGCCAGCCTGGGCCTCCCTAAGTAGTCTCCCTGTGACCCTTGCCTGCCCTGTCTGTGATCTGCATTCGGCTGGCCCAGGATTCCCGCAGGGCTGGACGTCTGCCCTGACCTCCTGGATGCAGATATAGAATTATGAGCCCATTCCGCAGCTCTGAGCCCCTGCAGGCAAGGCTCCAGCCAGAAGCCCCCAGCCGCACCAACCTGCACCCGTTTTATTGGACTAATATGGTCTTAACCCTGGGTTTAGTGGTTGCACTGCTCAATGGGGAAGGTTTCAGTGAAAACCCCAATCTCCTTCTGCTAGCTCCGCAGGGCTGGGCCGTGTGCCAAGCATGACAGACAGCACATCCTGCTGGCAGGACCCCAGCTGAATAGGCCCCCAAGGTTCTAGGCTTCCGGGTACCTGGCTCAGTCTGGGGTCTGGCTGGGGCCTGGATGGGTGTGAGGGTCTGGCTGGGGTCTGGCT